AACCTGCTATGGTTTACTCATAGTTTCATCAGTTGTAAAATGAGGATAATAACCGGGTTGTTCTGACCATTAAATGAAACCATGTTTTAAAAAGTGTACCGGGGTGCCTGGGTGGCTCAGTCAGTTAAGTGTCTGACTCTTGGTTTCGGCTGAGGTCCTGATAGGGTTGTGAGATCAAACCCAACATTGGGCTCCGTGCTTTGTATGGAGCCTGCTTAAGATTCTCTCCTTCAGGGCGCCTGGGTGGCTCATTCGGTTAAGCATCTGTCTTTGGCTCAAGTCATGATGCTAGGGTCTTGGGATCAAGCCCCGTGTGGGGCTCCTGGCTCAATGGGGAGCCTGCTTCTCCCTCTTCCCCCTGCTCGTGCTCTCTCTCTCTCTCTCTCTCTCAAATAAATAAATAAAATATTTAAAAATAAATAAAACTGGGGCGCCTGGGTGGCTCAGATGGTTAAGCGTCTGCCTTCGGCTCAGGTCATGATCTCAGGGTCCTGGGATCAAGCCCCACATCAGGCTCCCTGCTTGGCGGGGAGCCTGCTTCTCTCTCTCCCTCTACTGTTCCCCCTGCTTGTGTTCTCTCGCTCTCTCTGTCAAATAAATAAAATCATAAACAAACAAACAAACAAACAAACTCCCTCTGCCCTGCTTGGGTAGACATGCTTTCTCTCTCAAAAATACATACCTACGTAAATAAATAAAGTGTACAGTACAGTTCTGTTTCTTATATTTTTAGGAAAGGTATACCTAAATGATCCTTGGGATTTAGAAAGAGAGTAAGATACATTTGCGGGTTTTATTACCATCAAGATCTAGTGAGATGCTGGAGTTATGCTTGGGAAATTTATTCAAGGATAATGTCCAAAGTATTTTATCAATTGTTTGTTAGTATTAATACAGATGACCCTTAAACAAGGTGGGGGTTAGGGGTGCTGACCCCACCCCCCCACACAGTCAAAAATCTGCATGTAAGTTTTGACTCCCCTAAAACTTACCTCCTAAAGCCTACTCTTGACTACTAGCTTTACTGATAACAGTTGATCAACACATATTTTGTAGGTTATAAATGTTATATACTCTATTCTTTTTTAAAGATTTTTTTAATTTATTTATTCATGAGAGACAGAGAGAGAGAGAGAGAGAGAGAGAGAGACAGAGGGAGAAGCAGGCTCCCAAGGAGCAGGGAGCCCGACACGGGACTTGATCCCAGGACTCTGGGATCATGACCCGAGGCGAAGGCAGACGCCCAACCATCTGAGCCATCCAGCTCCCTATATACTATATTCTTATAATAAAGTAGAGAGAAGAAAATAAGTCATAAGGAAGAGAAAATATACTTTTAGAGTACTGTACTGTATCGAAAAAAATCCGCGTGAGTGGACGTGTGCAGTTCAAACCCACGTTCAGAAGTCCTCTGTACATAAATCAATATGTAACTGAAAATATAAAAATATTTTCCCTTTTATTCTCCAAAATAACTGAACTTCTGCATGTGTTATAAAATTACCTGTTTATGTATGTGGGGGTGGGCTGTGTGTGTTAGTGTGCGTTAGTGGCTATCACTAGCTAGATTATTCACATATGAACCATGATTTGACATAGGGAATTATGTCAGACTATCTCACTGACTTCCTCATTTAAATGATTATCAAGTACTTTGTAATCTCAGTTAAGTCAAAAATTTCTCTTCACATTCATAGTACTGATTGTTTTCAGATTCTGCTGAACTCACAGCAGTAACATTTAATTTTTGTCTGTGATGTTTACATGTTCCCTGTCTCTTGTCTAGGTCACAGGAAATAGTTTTTTTGTTTTTGTTTTTTGAAAGTTATCTTTAGATCAGACCTAATCTTTTTGGGAGGTGAGCAGCAGCCTTAGCAAAGCAGTTAAGAGAGTAGACTTTGTTGCCAGGCTGCCTGGGTTCAAATTTTGGCTTTGGCACTTAAGTGTTAAATAACTTCTCTGTTCCTCTATAAAATGAGGGTGGTGACAAGTATTTATTTAGGACAGTGCCTGACAGAGTAAACACTATACGTGTTAGCTCCCATTTTTATTTTCAGAAGTAATTGTATTTATCCCGTAACAAACAGGTATTCAGTGTGTTTAAAGTAAGTCCTGCTATTAAGTTGGGAGCAAAATTCACCAGGGATGATGTGAAGGAGTGTCCTTATCCCAAGTATTTCCTGGAAACAAATTGCCCTCACTGCCTTCCCATTGCTAGAATGGCTACAGAGCCCCTAGTTCTCTTAGAACCAAAGCCCTGTGGAGGCTGCAGCTCCATAAGTAGCCTCAAAAGTTGGAATATTGCTGGCAGCAGGTGCCCGTGACCTTAGGTACCCAAGTTGTCACCAGGCATTGGCCCTCCAGGGTGTTAACATCACTGCAGGGGCACCATCTCTTTCCTGGAGTCAGGCCAGCTCTGGAAATGGACTGTGTGGGGGTGGGGCCTAGTGTCCAGAAGCCATGATATGCTAGACTGGTGGCTACAAGTCCATCCTTTTGTTGTTCATCTGGGTCTCCCCAGGGCAACGTGAGGATAGGGATTCCAGATACAAGTTACAGGCTGGCTCTAGTGGGGGCAATAGAGCTTACTGATGGTGGTATTAGGGCGACAGAACTTCAGGGAGAGTTGAATGAGTAATGACTAATCAGGATAGATACTATATTCCTGGAGGAGTGTCTCTGAGGCCCCTTTAGTTACTGGATTGTGGGTCGTCCAGGAGACTGGGCAGGAAACCCAAAGCTAAAATTTTAGCCCTTGTTTCCACTAAGCTTTTAAGGTGATGTAATACTCTAAATAAACATACCCTGTCTTCTGGTGGGAATTACATTTCCAAAAATAATTTTTTAAGTTGAGGGCCTATCTGTAGCAGCCTGGAAAGGGCAAGTGCTTGGTCAGTACTGCTTTTGCTGTTGGGAGATGGGAAGAACTACCCTGCCCTTCAGATTGTTGCTTCGGGAGCCTGTGTTTCCTGGAGGAGCATCACTGATGGGAGTTACAAAGCACCTTTCAACAGATTACTCTGAGGCACTTAAAGAAGACTTGAGCTGCGTGGTATTTCAGTCCATTTAGCAGAACACCTTGTGGTTCATTCTGTCAAGCGAGTGAAATGATAAACATTAAGCTAAAAGCTTATAATCAAGCTTCCATTTATAGAAGGCTGTTGTTCAGCTTGGGTAAAGTAATTGTGAGTACACCTCATAGTCTGTCTTAACTTTTGTTCTTCAGCAAAGATGGTTGTCCTTTCTGTTCCTCATCTTTCCATCTGTACAATGGTAAGGTCATCATTCTGTCACACTAAGGTATAGTGGGAACATGTAAATACCCTGGGAAGCTGTGTGATGCAGTTCAAGAAGGCACTGGAATATACAGTTTCATACTTGGGTGAATTGAGCAGGTTAATTCCTCTGAGTGTTAGTGATCTCCTCTATAAGTGTAGTTGCCTTTTTTCTACCTACTCACCCTATCTACCCATCTATTCCCCTTGCTTGGGGGAATTAAGTGAGAAAATACTGGAAATAGAGAAAATAGAGCTAGAAATCATGAATATGTTAGGACATGAGAGCTAGAAATAGCAATGGTAATCATTTTTCTAGTCTATTATCTTATTTTCCAGAGAAGAGTAATTAAGGAACTTAACAGAGGTCACAAGGCTGTTTGACAAGTATGGAGAATTATAGAAATGTTCAGGTTTTTTTGGAATGGTGTGATGCTTTGGCACAATAATGAAAGAATTCTCTGTATGGCCCCTACATGAGTAAGTAATGAATGATTCTGAAAGGGGTGGAGGTAGAGTATGTATAAGAATCATTAGAAGCTAGGGAGCTTTTCCAAATTACATAGTTTTTCTGTTCCGTGGAGGGGGAGGCTGGAATTACTGGGGAAGGACCAGCAATGGGTGGGGAGGGTGTAAATTTTTTTTCTTTCAGAGACTATTATAGCCATATGCTTAAAAAAAAGTTTAAACTATGCAAAAGATTTTATAGTATGCAATGAAAAGTAAATTAGGGTGCCTGGGTGGCTCAGTTGGTTGACCCCCCCCCAACTCTTGGTTTCAGCTCAGGTCATGATCTCAGGGTCTTGAGATTGAGCCCTGCATTAGGGTCTGCGTGAGAAGTCAGCTTGGATTCTTCCCCTTTCCCTCCCCCTTTGCTCCCTCCACCCCCTCAGCCCCCCACCCCTGGCCTCATGCACGCAGCATATGCTGTCTCTCCCGCTCGCTCTCTCTCTCAAATAAAATCTTAAAAAAAAAAAAAAATCTCCCATCTAGGTTCCAACCTTGGCAGTAATTACAGTTTTTTGTTGTAGTTGTTACTGTTAGGTTTCCTACGTGTCATTCTAGAAACATTGTATATAAATATATAAGAATACACTTGTGTAGGGGCGCCTGGGTGGCTCAGATGGTTAAGTGTCTGCCTTCAGCTCAGGTCATGATCCCGGGGTCCTGGGATCAAGCCCCACATCTGGCTCCTTGCTCAGCAGGCAGCCTGCTTCTCCCTCTCCCACTCCCCCTGCTTGTGTTCCCTCTCTCGCTGTCTCTCTCTCTGTCAAATAAATAAATAAAATCTTAAAAAAAAAAAAGAATACACTTGAGTATATTAATGGAAGCATATATATGGTTCTGTATTTTTGGTTTTTTTTATCTAGTATCAGCACATGTAGAGCTATTTTTTAAAAAGGGCTTCATAATACTACAAATAAAGATGTACCCATCCTTAGTTGATAGATATTTACTATTTCAAGTTTTCTGCTTTTAAAACAGTGCAACAGTAAACATTCTGGTATGTCTTCAGTACAGCCCAAGTGTACCTATGGGATAAATTCCTAAACATAGAATTATTAAAGGATGTATGCATTTTAGATTTTGATAGATTGACTTAAGTGTATGTATTTAGAAAAGCTCCTCTGGTATTTAGGAAAAATATATTCCTTCTGAAGCAAAGTAAGACTTGGTTTGACTCTAATGAAATTCACATGTTCACTTTCTTGTTTTTACTTAAAGCCGGTGCCTACTGCATTGGCTCAGGTAGATAGAGAAAAAATCTATCAGTGGATCAATGAGCTGTCCAGTCCTGAGACAAGGGAAAATGCTTTGCTGGAGCTGAGTAAGAAGCGAGAATCTGTCCCTGATCTTGCACCCATGCTGTGGCATTCATTTGGTACTATTGCAGCACTTTTACAGGTGGGTATATATCTGTGAATTGCAGTCCAGTCCTGTTCATCACACTTCTTTCTCTCTGCCTTTGCTCAAATGATTTTGAAGACTTTAGTAGAATGATTCTTTAAATGTTAGCATTTGTAAGAATCTGTTTTGGAAAAGTCTAAGGTGCTTGTCAAAATGCAGGTTCATAGATTTTACCCAAAAGATTTATTTAGTCTGAGATTAAAAATCTATATTTTTCAACAAATCATGGAATACTACATCAAAAACTAATGATGTACTGTATGGTGACTAACATAACATAATAACACAAAAATTATAATAAATAAGTAAATAAATAAATAAAATGAAAATCTGTATTTTTAGCAAGCACCTGCCCCGTTCTTAGGTCATTCTGATGCAGGCAGTCTGAGAACCACACTTTGAGCAGCACGGCTTTAGGAATACTACAAGACATTTCTAGGTGACAGAGGAGAAAAGGTGGAAGGTAAAATATAAGAACTGCAGGGTATATTCTGGTGAACAGAAATGTTAAGATATAGATATAACAGCTGTAGGATTAGAGATAGGTATGCTTCTACATTAAAGAATAAATCACTGATGTGGTTCTGACTATAATGGTCATTTGTGAAGAATAAATTGATACAGTATAATCCTAAGATACCAAGATAATGGAATACTCATCCTTTAAAGTATTGTCTAAAATTCCTAATAATTAATTTTTCAAATCTGTTAAATAAATTTATATTCAGTTCCTACTTCATGTAGCCAAGAAACTAATCTTTTTTTAAATTAAAGTATAATTAACATTAGTTTCTATTAGTTTCAGGTATTCAATATAATGATTCAACGATTGAATAATTCTGTACTCACTGCTTAATACAATAAGTGTATTCTTAATCCCTAAAACTAATCCTTTTTATCTTTACATTTTCAATAAAAGTTTTACAATTAAAATAAAAAGAATTGTTTACAGCAGATCATCCCCTTTGGACAGAGAGTACACATATTCACTGCTGTTTGTACGTATCTCCATGCGTATACTCCTGTTCTTATCTCTCCCTGTCTGCAGTTGCTACCTGACCAAACTCAGACTTCTTTATGAGTCACTGTGGTTGATTTACTGACACTTGCTATCTGGCCAACTATCTTACCACTGTAACTCAAAACAGGGTGTTAACAAAAAGAAGGGATTATAACAATAACAGCCATAGCCCCTCAAATGAAGGTCTCAGCAGATGCTGGGTATAAGAGGAAGTGTAGGTGACCACACTTGACTCCAGAGGAATCTTCCTAGAGACCTGCGTAGAAATGTCTCATAGTCTCAGGTATATTTGTGATGAAAAAATAGGACCATTATTTGTTTATTTTTGCTCGCACTTTGATGATTCAGTTCTTGCAGGATATATGGAATTACGGGTTGGGGGTTTGTAGGGTTTTTGCTTTAATACCATGGAAATTAATTTTGAAGTAGTTATTTATTCATCTGATGCTGGTTTCCATTTTTTAGGAAATTGTAAATATTTATCCATCTATCAACCCCCCCACCTTGACAGCACACCAATCTAATAGAGTTTGCAATGCTCTGGCTTTGCTGCAATGTGTGGCGTCACACCCAGAAACCAGGTAAGCGCTTTGATGAGCCTGGTGATGGAGGTTTGTATCAAATACGGTCTTTTCTGAATGATGAGAGGAAGGGCATGCAGTAGGAGTAGGAAGCATGTGTGTGGATGTGGATCTTCAGGATTTTCATTTGCTTTTTTTTTTCCTGAAGAATTTCTTTCTCTAATTAACCAAGTTTTCATGTAGTAACAGTACAGTATTGTTTAACATGTTCTTTTATAAATTTTTTTTGTCTTTTTTTTTATTGTGGTAAAATCTATATAACATAAACTTACCATTTCAACCATCTTTAAGCCTAGAGTTCAGTAGTATTAAATATATTTATAATGGGCAACCATCCCCACCATACATCTCCATAACTCTTCACTGGATAAAACTGAAATGATACCCATTAAACCATAACTCCCCATTCCCATAGCCCCTGGTAACCATCATTTTCCTTTCTGTCTCTTTGATTTTGACTACTCTAATACCTCAATTAATTGGAATCATTCAGTATTTGTTTTTTTGTGCTTGGCTTATTTCATTTAGCATAACATGCATATTATAGCATATGTCAGAATTTCCTTTTTAAGGCTGAATGATAATCCATTGTCTCATTTACTTTTGACCCATTCATAGCAATGAACTTTAAATGAGTGTTCACAGGGCCTGTGGCCGGCTCAGTCAGTAGGTCATGTGACTCTTGATCTCAGGGTCATGAGTTCAAGCCCCACGTTGGGGGTAGAGTTTACTATTAAAAAAAATAAAAATAAAAGGGTGGTGTTCACATCTCAAGAAAGGTCAGGCATGTAGATATTTGTCCCTCCTGAATCCATGGTAGGCATCACTATGTGAGGCACAGTACATGGCATTCACTAGGAATTCAGTAAATATTTGAACCCAGCATTTTTTTTTCCCACTGAACCTAGATTTGGCTTCAGAATCTTTCTTAACACAAAATCCTAGGCAACCTTATAATAGATCAGAATTGGTATGCCAGTTGACCTGCTTCATTTGACAAGAAAAGGGAAATCCTGTTCAGTAATCTGTTTTGTGACCTTTACGGTTCTAAGGCACTTAACAGTCATCTTACTGAAGTCTTTTGTCTCTTTATCAATTACAAAATCTGAGTGCTAGGTTGGCACTGACATTGCAGAACTTTAGAGAAGTTACTATGAAAATTATTCTTAAGCACTTAAGAAAAATGCAAGAGTACTTTGAGTTTTAAAAATTTAGAGTGCTTTTCCACAACGTTAGTTAACTATAAATAATACAAAGTAATAGATTGGTTCTGTATTAGTTGCCTGACATATTAGCTTCAGATTACAATGTTTTTAGAGGGGCACCTGTGTGGCTGAGTCGGTTAGGCCTCCAACTCTTGGTTTCAGCTCAGGTCATGATCTCGGGGTCGTGAGATCGAGCCCCAAGTTGGGCCCCACACTCAGCATGGAATCTGCTTGAGATTCTTTACCCTCCCTCTCCCTCCCCTTCTGCTCCTCCCCGTCTGCGTGTGCTCTTTCTCTAAAATAAGTAAATAAAATCTTTAAAATGTTTCCAAATACTTAGTGTATCTGAACTGCTCTAACAGAAAAAGAACGGTATGCATTTAAACATAGCAGATAAATCTGATCATGGCTGCTTTGTTTTCTCATCTTGGTTTATAAGGTTTTGTCTGACTGTACCTGTGAATATTATTATTCAGTCATAAATTAGGTGAGGGAAGGCACCTAGGAGAATCTTGTGGGCACTTAATGGCATTTTATGACCTATTAAAATCCACAGTTGGATATTTTATCAGTTTTTGAGGTACTTGGTGCTGATTATAGGGAAAATCGTGTATTTTCTTAAGCATAGACCTACACTAGATTTTTTTTAACCTTGACGTTGCCATTTTGAGCTAGATTTTGTGGTGGGGGGAAGGGGGTGAAAGGGGGCTATCCTGTGCACTGTTGGATGTTTAACAGCATCCGTGGCCTCTGTTCACTGGATGCCAATAACACCCCCTTGGTTGTGACAACCAAAAATATCTCCAGACATTGTCACATGTACCCTGGAGGGCAAAATCACCCCAACTGAGAACCACTGGTCTAGACTAATGACTAGTAACTCTTTTCTGGAGATTCCTTGATTAGGAATGTTACAGGCCTTACAGAATGAACTACCTGGAAATTGAATGTTCACAGTCCTTAGAAATGAACTCTGGGCCCTGATTGGGGTTATTTTTTTCTTCCAGGTCAGCATTTCTTGCAGCACACATCCCACTTTTTTTGTACCCCTTTTTGCACACTGTCAGCAAAACGCGGCCCTTTGAGTATCTTCGGCTAACCAGTCTTGGAGTTATTGGTAAGTTATTGGGGTGATTTTGCAGGTCTGAAATCTTCATAATAGTGATCTTAGGTGTTTTGTCTTTTATAGCTTTTGTTCACCAATTGTTTGTTTTTGTCTTTGAGGTTGAGTCTATTTTCACTAATAAATGAGGACATAATAATGAATAAATAGTAATAAACAACATATTTATTAAGTAATAAGTAAATAAGTAATACAGTGGTTCTTATCAAGTGCCACTCTGAGTGTTGTTGATAAAGGTATGAGACCCAACATTTGGGATTAAATTCAGCATATGTGTAGAAACAATTACCGGAATCATAGGGAGAATAAAGAACAAGCTGAAGTCAACAAAGAGTAGTATTACAGAGATGAGAATTTGAGTTGTTTTTTTTGGGATGCCTGGGTGGCTCAGTCTGTTAAGTGTCTAACTCTTGATTTCACCTCAGGTCGTCATCCCGGGGTTGTGAGGTTGAGTCCCATGTTGGACTCCGTGCTGAGTGGGGTGCCTGCTTGGGTTTCTCTCTCTCCCTCGGCCCCTCCCCCCCACTTGAGCCCACACACTCTCAAAAAAAAAAAAAGAATTTGCATTGTTTTTTTTTTGTTTTGTTTCTCTTTCTAACTTCTAAGTTGTCCTCCCATAACTACAGATGTTTGTCCTCTATTGCACCTAGTTGAATTTTTCTATGCCAAAATTAATGTTCCTACATATATTTATTATGGGAGATGTGTCTAAAGTACATTTTACTCAAGAAAATAATATATTAGCTGTTTCAGATCTCAGACTCCCAGATAATAAAGACTTGTCTTTGGATTTGTGAAAAATAAATATATTCAAGAAGGTTTCTTTCCAAATTCCCCTCAATGTCTTTATCTCATAGTTTTCACATACTGACCAAACCATGAGAACATTGATTGTACAAACTTTGTTTTCTTCGGTTATTGTTTGTATGTTCAACCTGTGTTCATATCCCTATGATTATAAACTATGGGTCAGGAAGTATACTTTAAAAGTTTAGTACTTCTATCGCTTCTCAGCATTTTGGCTAAGATCAAGTGTAGTATCTGTTCCTATCAGTTTAAAAGTTTAGTACTTCTGACACATATTTCTCAGAGACATTTTATTGTACATTTAAGGAGTAGCTCCTATCTCCTATACTCCAAATTAATGTTACTGTTTTTTACATCCCATCCAAATATACTCTATATAGAAACATTTTCCCCCAGTATATTGCTGTTTTTAAGCTATGAAAATTTCTTATATAGGACTTAAAACATGAACAAGGTACCAGCCAAAAGAAAGCACTTCTATCCTTAATTCTGATTTAAATCATCCTACTTCTGCTGGTTTTTTGACCATGACAGTTAGATGATCATTAGGAGATGTTAGGATAAAGTTAACTGTAGGGGGATAAAAAAGATATTGGGACAGTGTTAAGCCATTGTCTACCCTTGCATATATTTTCCAAAAGTTAATTTCTCCAAGTCAGTTGAGAGTACAAGCAGAAGGTAAATATTTGGGCCTAGACTTTTTGCTTACAGTTCAAAAGTTATCAGACAGGTTTGAATATAAATGAAATGATACATAAGAAATTAGAAAATACTTGAAAATGAATAAAATAAAAACATAGTAGAACTTACAGGATGTAGCTAAAGCAGGGCTTGGAGGGAAAATTATAGCATAAAATGGTAATACTAGAAAGGAAGAGAAGTCATCAATTTCAAAGCTTTCCACTTTAAGAAAACTAGGAAAAGGAGCAAATCAAATTAAACAGAAGGAAGGAAATAATAAAGGATAGACATCATTGAAAATGAGAACAGAAAAACAGTAGGTAAAATCAATGAAACCAAAAGCTGACCTTCTTTTGAGATATAATTGACATATAACATTGTATTAGTTTTAAATGTACAGCATAATGATTTGATATATGTATATATTGGAGAATGATGACTACATTAAGTTAACATCCATCACCACACATGCACTGGCTCAGTTGGTGGAGCATGGGACTCCTGATCTTGGGGATGTGAGTTCAAGTCCCACATTGGGTGTAGAGATTACTTAAAAATAAAATCTTAAAAATCCATCACCACACAGTTATAAAAATTTTTTTTCTTGTGATGAGAACCTTTAAGATTTATCATCTTAACAACTTTCAAATATGCAATACAATGTTGTACATTACATCTGCAGGACTTATTTATAACAGAAGGTTTGTACTTTTTGACCACCCTTACCCATTCACCCATCCCCAATTTTTTACTGAAAAAAATTCAATGGAATTAATAAACCTCTAACCAGATAGACTGGGAAAAAAAGAGAAAACACAAATTACAAGTTCCAGGAATGAAAGGGTGTATGTTATACAGACTGTACAGACATTAGAAGAATAATGACTACTGTTAATAACTGTGCCCATAAATTTGATGACTTGGGTGAATGGGCAAATTTTATGAAAGTTTCATTCTGCCGGACTCTACTCGAGAAAATAGATAATTGGAATAGTCTTACATCTATTAAATTGTTTTTGTAGTTGAAAACCTTCCATTATAGAAAACTCTGGGCCCGAGTGATTTCACTGATGAAGTCTACCAAAAATTTAAAGAAGAAATAATACCAATTCTACAAAACTTTTCCAGAACATAGAGGCTTCTAAACTCTTGGTGAGGCCAGCATTAATTACTCTGATAATAAAACCAGAAAAAAAAACATTATAAGAAAACTATAGGCCAGTATCCCTCAAGAACATAGATGTAGAAATTCTCAACAAAATGTTAACAAATCAAGTCCAACAATATATAAAAAGGATCATCATGACCAAGTGGGTTTATCCCATAATTGCATGATGGTTTAACTTTCAAAAGTCAGTCAATACAGGGGTGCCTAGGGCGCCTGGGTGGCTCAGTCCTTAAGCTTCTGCCTTCGGCTCAGGTCATGATCCCAGGGTCCTGGGATCTTGAGCCCCACATCGGGCTCTCTGCTCAGTGGGAAGTTTGCTTCTCCCTCTCCCACTCCCCCTGCTTGTGTTCCCTCTCTCGCTGTCTCTCTCTCTCTGTCAAATAAATAAAATCTTAAAAAAAAAAAATACAGGGGTGCCTGATTGACTCATTTGGTAAAGTATGCGACTCTTGTTCTCAGGGTTTGAGTTCAAGCCCCACATTGGGTGTAGAGATTACTTAAAAATAAAATCTTAAAAAAAAAATCATCAGTCAATATGTATCAATGGACTAAAGAAGAAACAACATATGCCCATTTCTTTAGCTTAAAAAAAAAAGCTTTTGATAGTATTCAGCATCCATTTATGATTAAAAACTCCAGCAAAGTAGAAATAGAGGGAACTTTCTCAACCCGATAAAGTTTTAAAAAATAAGTCTTACAGTTAAGATCATAGTTAATGTGAAAAACTATGTTTTGTATTCCTAAGATTGAGAACAAGGCAAAGATAATAATATATATTATTATATATAATAATACATATAATAATGTATATCTATTATATATGTAATAAAGAATATTCTCACCACTCCTGTTCAGTATCATCCTGGAAATCCTACCTGTTGCAGTAAGGCAAGAGAAAAAATAAAGGGCATACAAATTAGAAAAAAATTAGATTGCCTATTTTATGTGCTAGCTAAAACAGAAATTGAAAATTTAAAAACCTACATTTATAATAGCACCAAAACATGATGTAAGTCTTAAAAAAGATGTGCAAGATCTGTAGCTAAAAAACTACAAAGCAATGATGAAAGAAATCAAAGAAGACCTAAATAAATGGAGATATATCATGTTCATTAATTGGTATATCAATGATTCGATATTGTTGAGATGTCAGTTCTCCCCCAAACTGATACATATGTATATTTAGAACAATGCCAACAAAATCCCAGCAGGATTTTTTTTATATAGAAACTGACAAGCTGTTTCTAAAATTTATACGGAAAGGCAAATGAACTAGAATATTCAGGGTTTTTTGTTTTAAAGATTTATTTATTTTAGAGAGTGTGTGTGAGCCTGGGGAGGGGCAAAGGAAGAGCGGAAGCAGAGCGCAGAGCCCAACATGGGGCTTGATCTCAGGACCCTGAGATCATGACCTGAGCTGAAACCAAGAGTCGGTCATTCATTCAACCAACTGAGCCACCCTGGCACCCCTAGAATATCCAGTTTTTAAAAAGAAGGACAAAGGTGGAAGATGTACATTACCTGATTTCAAGACCTGGAAAACCATTTGTCAAGACAGCATGGTATTGGAGAAAAGCTAGACTTGTAGATCAATGGAGCAGAATTGGGGAGTCCAGAAATTGACCCATACAAATATGATTAATTCATTTTTGACAAAGGTGCAAAGAATTTAGTGGAGAAAAGATAGTCTTTTCAATAAATGGTGCTGGAACAATTTGATATCCATATGTAAAACAATGAAACACGATCTATACTTTATAAAAATTAATTCCAAATGGATTTTAGACCTACGTGTAAAGTCAACATGAAATAGTAATTGGACATCTGCTTTAGGCCATATTAGTAAATTATGGTATATGCTGTTTGCTATGGTGTTTAAAGATGTAGCATTTGTAGATTGCCAGTTCTTGTTACATGATACTCCTTTCTCTTCTGAAGTAAGTGATTTTAGTTGTTACAGATCTGATTAACCTAGGCCTTTCATATAAAAGCTAGTTGATACATTGGGCAGCTTGGGGATTTGTTTAATGGAGTTCTGCTTCCCTCTATACAGAATGGAGAAGATTAACACTGAACTGTGTCTGTTACCTGGTCAGTGGTGTCAGGTTAGAACTCAATAGAATTGGGATGAATTTTAAAAATCATTTGTTCCAACTCTTATTTTATAAACAGGCCTATAAAGAGAAGGTAACTCTATCAAATTTAGGTAAACTAGTTGTGGAACTAGAATTAGAGTTGAGGTGTGTGTGTGTGTGTTTCTTGTTTGGGTACATCCTACCATGTTTGCACTCTTTGGAGAGAGTGACAGTTAACCAAGAAGCAATGTTTGTTTATGTCCATTGTGCAATAGGGATTCAAACTGACACCGTTTCTTTGCTACCTGGGAATATCCCTTTATACTGATACAGAATTCTTCTCTCTAACCTAAAATAAATGGAGAATAGATGGTGATATTATTGTGTGGTTGTCTACCAGGAGTAATAGAAAAATGATTTAGAGGGCTGACCTGCTGCTGACTGTGTGATGGACCAGAATTGGTACCTGATCTTTGAAATGCTGGTACAAGCAACCTGTGCTTTCTCTTCCTCTTTTTTTTTTTTTTTTTTTTAATAGCAGTATGAATCTGATCCTCTGACGTGGACCCTAGTTTGTGTTCTGTTATTTAAGTTCCACAACTAGCTGGATGAACCCTACAAAGTTCATTTTAATTAAAAACCTGACTCTGAAATAATTTTGTTTGTCCATATTTTCTTTAGGGGCCCTAGTGAAAACGGATGAGCAGGAAGTAATCAACTTTTTATTGACAACAGAAATTATCCCTTTGTGTTTGCGCATTATGGAATCTGGAAGTGAACTTTCTAAAACGGTATGTGCTTTTTCATTGTAGTTTCTATATTGTGTTGGCTCTTGGACTATTTATGGTCCTAGGATCATTTTCTGTGTCCCTTCAGGCTTCTTGAAACTTCTATGTATTTATTTTTTCTTTCAGATAAAAATTGTTAAAAAAGGATCATTTAAAAACCCCAACCCTTAAGAGGAATATAAAGTTAAACACTTAATTTCTCCCTTTTCTCTGAAACTACTTCTCCAAAGGTATATTATTCGAGACTTTTTTTGTTTTAATTTATTTATTTGAGAGAGAGAGAGAGAGAGCATGAGCAGTGGGGGAGAGGAAGAAGTAGGCTCCCTGCTCAGTAAGAGGGGACTTTTTTTTTTTTTAAGATTTTATTAATTTATTTGTCAGAGAGAGAGAGAGAGAGCACAAGCAGGGGGAGTGGCAGGCAGAGGGAGAGGGAGAAGCAGGCTCTCTCCCTGAGGAGGGAGCCTGATACAGGGTTCGATTCCAGGACCCTAGGATCATGACCTGAGCCAAAAGCAGACACTTAACAGAGTGAACAACCCAGGCACCCCCTAATCCAGACATTTTTTAATGCATACTCAAGTGTATACTATACGTACTTGAGCTTCTACTTACTTTGCTCCTTAACTATGAATGACAACATGGCTGGGTATAAAACTCTTACCTGATTTTCCCTGTCAGAACTCTGTTGTCGTCTGATATTGAATATACAGTGAAATCTTGGGCCAGCCTAAGTTTTTCCTTTTCTTGGTGAATTTGCCTTTTCTGTGTGGATGTCTGTAAGCTTCTTTTATTATTTTTTAGTTCATTTGATAATCTTCTATCAGTTTGTTTTTTTGGAAGAGCCTACTCTTTGTGTCTCTTGTTAATTTTTATAGTTTTTAATTTGTTTTGGCCTCTCTCCAACAACATCAGTTATGCTATATTGTATATCTTTCCTATCTTTTTTCCCCTTCTAGTAGCTTTCTGCTTTTTTATTTTATGTCAGGTGATTTTCCTCAAGGCTACTTTCGATGTTGCTGACTATTTTTAGCAATATCCTACCTCTGCTTCTAAAGTATGCTCACTCATATTGAATTAATTTTTTAATTCAGTGAATAATGCTGAGTTGGATATAAGCAGATGTAATGATTTTTAAATTTATTTATTTATTTAAGATTTTATTTATTTATTTGACAGAGAGAGACACAGTGAGAGAGGGAACACAAGCAGGGGGAGTGGGAGAGGGAGAAGCAGGCTTCCCAGGGAGCAGGGAGCCCAATGCGGGGCTTGATCCCAGGACCCTGGGATCATGACCTGAGCCGAAGGCAGATGCTTAACAACTGAGCCACCCAGGCGCCCCTAAAATTTTTTATTTTTAACATGCAATACAGGGGCAGGGCGCCTGGGTGGTTCAGATGGTTAAGCATCTGCCTTCAGCTCAGGTCATGATCCCAGGGTCCTGGGATCGAGTCCTGCATCGGGCTCCCTGCTCCTTGGGAGCCTGCTTCTCCCTCTGCTTCTCTCTCTCTCTCTCCCTCTGTCTCTCATGAATAAATAAATAAAATCTTTAAAAAAAAAAAAAACATGCAATACAGGGGCACGTGGAAATCAGAGGAGCACATGGCTCTTGATCTCAGGTTCATGAATTCAAGTCCCATGTTGGGTATAGAGATTACTTAAAAAAATAAATGAACTTTAAACATATGATACACATATAAAGTAGCAAATTCAGGTAGTACAAATAAAAATAAGTCTACCTCAGCCTCTCAGTTCTCCCTACAGGTAACCAGTATTACCACTTTCTTGTATCCTTCCAGAAGTAGTTCATATGTGTGCATGTTACAGTTTAATTCTGTACTGATTTTTTTCCGTGGTTGCCCTCTCACTTCTCATGTGTTTTCAGCTCTTCTTTGAAATTTTTATCCTCTTTGAATTTTTTTTTGATGTTTTTTAAAATCCATGTTTTCTTTGATTTCTTTGAAAATGTAGGTAATTATTACTTGTTACCTCTTCTCCGGGTATATCTTTGCAAAAGTTTTCAATTGGGAGCAATTCTGTCCGAAATCACTATTTGTTTAAAAATAATGGATGGAAAGAGAGGTGGTAGGAGCTCATGTTGGGAGCTTTTAAATCAAATATTTTATCTCCAAATATTTTCCATCCCATTTACCAGTCTGGTAGATGTTTGTTAGGGAGGTATTTATACCTCTGTATTCATTTTTCTGCTTAAACACATAAAAGGTAAGTGACGTGTGGATCTATGTGCATGTTTTTCCTCTCTCATTTCTTCCCTAATTTTAGGGAGTTTTGTTAATTTCAGTGGATTTCTGGGACAAGATCAGAATGGATACAACTGTACTCTGTCATCTTACATTAGTGGTTGCCTATAAATAGGTTTTCAAGTTGGCTTCTTGTGGACGGGGTAGAAAAAGACCGCTTTCTTTTGTTACATCTCTCCCTTTTTCAGGAACTCCATTCTAATGATCCCTCCTCTATTTACATTCTTTGCGCATTACTTGAGTTAATCCATTCTGAATGCATACAGGTTCCCATTAGCTTGCTTATATGGCATATCCTGTTTGGTGTGATGACTAGCTCCTGGCTACCTTCCTTTGCTCCATGTAAGCAGAAACCTTACCACATTTGCTTTTTATGTACAGTATGTAGTCTAACACCTTACTGTAATAGGTACTCAGTAAAGCAGAGGGTCTCAACCTGTGAAGTGGTTTTTGTTTTTATTTTTTGAGGGGAGGATGGGTGTGCGGGCGGGGGGTGGGGGGGGAGCCAAGGGAAAGAATCTTAAGCAGTCTCCATGCCCAGTGCAGAGCTCAACTCGGGGCTTGATCTCACAAACCTGAGATCATGACCTGAGCTGAAATCAAGAGTCAGACACTCAACTGTCTGAGCCCCCCAGGCGCCCCAGTGAAGTGTTTTAAAAATGGAGATGCCCAGGCCCCATCTCTGACCTCCTGAATCATTCTCTATGATGGTAAAGTCTGGACATTGGTGTTTTTTAAAAAGTCCCCCTAGGTGAGTATATGGTATAACTATTTTGGAGACTATTTGGCAGTATCCACTATCAACATAATCCTGCGCTGTGACCCAGCAGTCCCACTCTTGGATATATCCAAGAGAAATGAGTTCTTGTGTCCATCACAGTATGTATAAGAATGTTTATAGTAGCCTTATTCATAAAAGATAAATTATAGTATAGCCACAAAATAAATTCCACAGTAATTAGGAAGAATACTGATATATAGGCAACATAGATGATGCTCATAGGGATTATATTGAGCAAAAGAAGCCAGCACATACATGAATTCATACTGTATGATTCCATTTATGTGAAAGTCAAGAATAGGCAAAACCAATTAGTGGGGGTAAGTCTGAATAATATTTACTTCTCAGGGAAGGGTTTTTTTTTTTTTTTAAGATTTATTTATTTGAGAGACAGCATGCACAAGCAGGGGGAGGGACAGAGGGAGAGAGAAACAGACTCCCCACTCAGCACAGAACCTGATGTGGGGCTCGATCCCAGAACCCTGAGATCATGACCTGAGCGAAAGTTGGACACTTAACCTACTGAGCGCTCTAGGCACCCCGCTCAGGGAAGGGTATTGACTGAGAAAAGGCACAACGGAATCTCCTGGAGTGCTGGAAATCTTTTATATTTTAATCTGGTTGTGGTTCATAAATGTGTACATAGGTAAAAATGTATATGCACTATACACATTTTACTGTGTATATTTCCTCTTGCTCCCATAACAAATACCACAATCTTGGTGGCTTAAAACAACACAAATATATTTTCTTAGAGTTCTGCAACTTAGAAATTGTAAATCAGTTTCACCAAGCTAAAGTCAGAGTGTTGGTAGGGCAACATTCCTTCTGGAGCCTCTAGGAGCATCCCTTTTTAGCTTTTTCCAGCTTCAAGAATTACATTCTTTGGCTCATGATCCCCTCTTCCATCTTCAAAGCCAGCAGTGTAACATGTTCAAATCTCTGTGTTCTGTCATATCGCCTTTTCCTATGTGGTCAAATCTCCCTCCACCTCTCTCTTATCAGGACACTTGTAATTACATTTAAGGCCCTCCTGGATAATCCAGAATGATTCATCTCCCCAAGATCTTTTTTTTTTTTTTAATTTGAAGTAATCTCTACGCCGAACATGGGACTTGAACTCACAACCCTGGGATCAAGAGTCATGTGCTCTTCCAACTGAGCCAGCCCGGCACCCTTGTCCCCAAGATCCTTAACCACATTTGCAGAGTCCCTTTTGCCATAGGAGGTAGCATTCACATAGTTTGGTTACTGGGGCCTGGATATCTTTGGGGGCCATTATTTAGCCCAACCACAATTTTATACCCAAGTAAAATAGTAAAATAAAATAAATAATTGCCACAGTTGGTTCTAATGAGCAGCCAAGGAAGGGAATCATTAAAATAATTGTTTGACTTGAATTAAACTAGTATTTTTTAGTCCCTTCTGTGCAAGAGTTAATGAGTTTAAATTGAGGTATTCTTTACTATTGCTGAAATAGTGTTAGAAGGGAGGCTTCAAAATCTTAATTATTAAAGATCTTTTAAGAGTGGGAAAAGCTTGGGGCACCTGGGTGGCTCAGTCAGTTAAGCAACTGTCTCTTGATCTCAGTTCAGGTCTTGATCTCAGAGTCATGAGTTCGGGCCCTGCATTGGGCTCCATACTGGGCATGGAGCCCACTTTAAAAAAAAGTAGGTGTGAATAAATTGTACACACATACACAACACGAATAGGAAAAGCTTTACTTACCTCATTGGGAAGAGATGAGGCACAGCTAAATTTCTAAACTCATGGCCCATGGAAAAGAAAAAAAGCTCTGTATTCAGAGTAGGTTTGGATCTCAACTCCACGACTTAGAGGCTTTGTCACTTGGGACCTTAACCTGACAAGTTATTGATTAGCACTTATGCCTGGCACATAGTCGGGGTTCGATAACTGAAAAAGTACCTACATTTTTAAGAATCTGGTAATTACCCAGAACCTACCCTTTTATGTAAAAAGAGAGTAACAGTGGTACCTACCTCATAGGTTTATTGTGAATATAAAGTGGGGCAGCTGGGTAGCTTAGTCAGTTAAGCGTCTGCCTTCGGCTCAGGTCATGATCCCAGGGTCCTGGGATCGAGCCCCACATCGGGCACCCTGCTCTGCAGGTAGCCTGCTTCTCCCTCTCCTGCTCCCCCTGCTTATGTTCCCTCTCTCACTGTTTCTCGCTGTCAAAGAAATAAAATCTTGAAAAAAAAAAAAAGAAAAGAAGAAAAAGCATGTTATGCCTTTAGGAAATATTTTGGCACATATTAAGTATTCACTGTGGTAATGCTTATTATTATTATTATTTTGATTAAGCTGTAAGTGCATATCTTGTTGACTAAGTTGTGCATATTGTCAGGGTCTCTGCTTCATTTTCTGATTCACAATTCTTCCTGGAAGATGAATTGATCATTGGAAGACAAGTCTGAGCAACATTTTGGACTCCATTTTTGTTTTTACTCCAGGTTGCCACATTCATCCTCCAGAAGATCCTCTTAGATGACACAGGTTTGGCATATATATGTCAGACATACGAGCGTTTCTCCCACGTTGCCATGATCTTGGTGAGTTCTTTTGTCTACTCCCATTATAGTTACTTATGATCACACAGCTTAGTCCCTTTGCAGCTGACACTGAACAGCTTCCTGGAACCTTGTATAATGATTCTTAAAATATCTGATCTCTGATGTCAACTGGGATTATTTTGTGTTTGTGTGTTTTTTTTCCTACCCCAACCCATTTTGGGGGAAAACAGGGTAAGATGGTCCTGCAGCTATCCAAAGAGCCTTCCGCCCGTCTGCTGAAGCACGTAGTGAGGTGTTACCTTCGACTCTCAGATAATCCCAGGTAAACATTTACAGGATTTATAGGACTTTGGGGAAATACTCTGGTGAATAGTTGCCCCATTTCATGGCATAACTCCTGTATCTTTAGGGTAGAGAAGGGATATAACGATAATGAGTCTGACAGAACTTGATTAAATCCTTTTAAAATCTGAAGTGCTAAGTTTTAAAATCCATCAGAGTTTTGGGGGCGCCTGGCTGTCTCAGTCAGTAGAGCATGTGACTCTTGATCTCAGAATCATGAGTTCAAGCCCCACATCGGGCATAGAGCTTACTTAAAAAAAATCCATCAGAGTTTTATCTCTGTAACTCTGTACCCTCCTCTGGAATTCCAGGGAGTCCAGACAGTTCCCAGGGAACCTTATGATACATTACTCCTGTGGTTTGAGCTTTCTGTTGCTACCCCAGGTGGTGAGAAAGAGAAGTATATTTTCAAAGATCTCTTAAAGGAATGGATCCCAGAGGGTGCTTGAATTATATTTTCAGTTCTCTGATTCCTCTAAAGTCCTTGAGCTAATTATCTTATCTCCCTATGTTCATAATCTTTCTGTTAGAAATCATATATTGTAGATATAATGCATTTTAGAAATGTTTGACCTTTTGCTTTGTAAATCCATAATTCATGCTGAAAGCCACTTGCTCGGGTTCTGCTAAACCACATAATGGGGCGATTTCTATGTTCCTAGGAATGGGGATAACTCGATTTAATGTGAACGCAGCCTTCTGCCACTGAGGTTATTCAAGCCCTAGCTATTTCTTCAACCATTTTGTCCTGTTCTTCAGTGGTTCCTGTTTTCATCAGTTTGAAAATATATTTCTTTAAACTAGTCTGAGTACAAAAGCTGTAACTTTATTTAAAACAGCTTTATAAACCATTAACATTTACCGTTTTGAGGTTTTCAGATTTGACTTTCCACTGGTCATCTTTTAAAGAAAGAACTTATTCTTTTAAAGAACTGTGGGGAGGAATGGGAGGCAGGAGAAGGGTAAAGCCAAAGCCAACTTTCAAATGAACATTTGAAAGTTCACTTGATAATGTTGCTACCATAGTTTTGTTTTTACTTCTCATCTCTTACTAAGAATTTTAACTATAAAACTGAAGCAGGAGCGTCTGGTGGACTCAGTCAGTAGAGCATGTGACTTGATTTCAGAGTCATGTGTTTGAGCCTCACGTCGGGCATAGAGCTTACTTTAAAAAAAAAAAAAGGAAATAAAAAAACTGAGGTAGTTTTTGGAAAGATTCAAATTTATATTAATTTAGAATTAAAGTTCACTAATTTATCATACTGTGAGTCAGGTTGTCTTTCCCTGTTCATGTACTGATTTTGGAAATGTTCCGTTTACTATAACCCATCTATTTTTACCATGAGCATATTGACAGTATTGACTGTAATAAATCAGAAAGCAGTTTGAATTCAACTATTGCACCATTTCATTCCATTTTGCGGTGTCTTGGAATTCCACATTGAGACATCGTCCTGAAAATGTTCACAGATGACAGATCATGGAGATCTCTGAGCCCATGCCTAAGACAAGTTTTAAAGAATTGTTATGGATTCTTAAGATAACTTGACTGAACCTCATATTCCCGGGATTCTGTATATTTATGTCTAAGAAAGGGCCTTTTCCCTGTCTCCCAAATGTGGGTTTATTTGCTGGTCTCCCCGGTTGGCTTGTTTGTCTCTGACGTAGGGCACGTGAAGCGCTCAGGCAGTGCCTCCCTGACCAGCTGAAGGACACGACCTTCGCCCAGGTGCTAAAAGATGACACCACCACGAAACGCTGGCTTGCACAACTGGTGAAGAACCTGCAAGAGGGCCAGGTCACCGATCCCCGGGGGATCCCCCTGCCCCCTCAGTGATCCTCCCCTGCCCCTTTCTACCACTCCCCCGAGTTGGGGGAGGGAGGGGAAATCCTCGAGGAAAACAGCTCAGGTTTTACCGCCGACCAGGAATAGACAACCTCAATGCTGAAGTGCACTGGAGAACAGGGGCAAGGTCGCCCCGCTGGGGTGAACGGGCTGCCTCTGGGACCTGGGCTCCCTCCGCTCCTCCCAGGAGATGGGCTCCTGACACAGCAGCCTGCCACCACAGCTCCAGGAGGGTGTCCACACCAGCAAATGCTGTGTTTGCAGCGTGCCTGCGATGGCCCTTCTCCCCAACCCGGACCACCTGCGGGCAGGGCGGGGCCGTGGCTGTGGCTGTGGCCGTGGCCGTGACCGTGGTAGCACGCGAGGCATGCGCAACACCTGGGACCAAGCCGGGTGGCGGTCTTTTATTTTGCCTTCCTGGAAGACTCAAGACGTGTCTCTTCGTCCTCTCTCTCAGTATTTGTTTACTTGGGTCTTTTGTTTTTGATGTCAGAGAGAGGTGTGTTTAGTGGACACCAGCTGTAATACTCAGCAAAACTTTGTCAATTGGCACTGTTTACAAGTCTGTTAGCTGCATAAGCTTAATAAAAAGTTGGTCTGGGCATTGCATCCCCTCTAGCAGGCCAGTAGCTGCATGAACTGTGGGGAGGAATGGGAGGCAGGGGAAGGGTAAAGCCAAAGGATGACAGGACCCTGCTGCCTCTCTCCCTTCCCTTTCCGTCCTTCTGCCCCCAGTTCTGGATGCCACAAGGACCCTCACCTTGTTTCTGGCTCTAGCTGCTAGCTCTGCCAAATCTCAATGCTTTTCCCTTTTTCACGTCCCTCTTATTAAACTTCAACAGACGTCTTATTAATTCATCAGGCTGTCCTGGAAGGGTATTGTATTGGGGGAGGTAAGGCGGCATGGACTTCACCTTCAATTCCAGTCCTCACATTTTCTGGATGACTTTTAAAGGTGCCTGGGATCAAGATGACAGGCTACTTGATCCCATTCTTTAGTATGAATTTCCGCAGCGCCATCTGTGTTCACGATTGTACTGGAAGTGGTATTAGCTGAATGAGTTTGTTTTATTCAGATTTAAGATAGAGGGTTTGACTCTGCTTCTTTGCTGTCTCTTTTTTTTTTTTTTTTTTTTGACACATTCCCTATTGGTCTATGGGAATTACAGGGTAGCCACTAAAATACTTCCACTTGTTCATATTGAGTCAGTGAATCCCCTGCCTTCTTTGGCACTATCCAGAGACTCGAATCTGTAACACAGTGTAAACTGCCTTGCTTTCCCCCAATCCTTCCCCCTGCCAACACCTGCTCGCTCTCTCTCTCATCCCCATCTCCAAAGATGGGATTATTAATCCAATGCTAGAGAGAGACAGAGTTTCCTGTCCACATCTCACATAAATGAAGGTATCTCCGAGCAAGTCTGGGGAGGCTCTGTCTGTAAGGAGCAAGCTCAGAGAAACCTTCGCAGAGGCAAATTTGCCAACCAAGGGCTCTTTCAAGCCGACTTTCACAAAGGGGGCCGGCATTGTTGGCTTCTATCTCTAGAGCCGAGAAAATAGTAATGAAGTAGCCTAGATGTAGGAAGGGTAGAATAAAGCACTTACTCCCCTGCCTTCATCCTCAAGATGAAGAGGAGAACCAGGTGAGCTCTCAGTCTCAAGCCTGAAGAGAAGAGGTCTTGGAGAAAGCAGAGAACAGCATGGACTGGATAGGCGTCTGGACTTCCCTCAGCCCGTAGTTTTGTGATCTGGAGAGTCCAGCTGAGGGGTCTCTGATTTCTGCCCACTGCCTTCCTGCTGAGCCGAAGTTTTCTCATTCCCCCTCCGCTGGGGAAGCAGCTGAGACCCAGGGCCTTGCTCCCTGGGGAATTCTCTTCTCCATCTTTTGGTGCGCTGGCCACGTCACTGTGCCAATAGTGTCTTAATTCCTGTTCCATCTATTCTCAGCTGTCCTTGGACCCCACCTAGGAGTTGGGGGAGGGATGAAAATGGGTATTATTCCTTGTAGTTGATCCTGATGTCATGTGTGTATAAAGAGACCCCTCCCTTCATTTTTTTGTTTTCCATCCCTCTCACTCCCTAACAGGATTGAAATAAAACCTGTTTCTGTTTTTATAAAAACAATTTTTCCTTTAAACTGGAGATTTGATTTTGTCAATATGGAGATCTCAAGGCACTCTGGTCACATGATCCTTGTCACTCCTGCCTCTACCATCTGTTGGACACAAACACACTGTTCTGCCAAGAGGGCATTGACGGTTCCCCTATGGCTAGGTCCTTTGGGAAGAGTCCTGCTGCTGGATAAGAGCTGTTAGGGAGGCTGGGGTGGTACCCTTTATCTGATAAAATGTCTTTTGCTGAAACAGAACCTCACTCCTGGCTGTCATGGCCAGAATTTAGTATGGTGTGGGAGAGACTTGAAGTGAAGGGGTAGTGCTGGAAACATTTAATCACAGACTTTAATATTCATTTCCTCCCAAGGTTCAAGACTTAGCACACATCCCCAGAGTTTCTGTGCCTGTTTCTGGCACTCAGCGGGACAGAGCCAATCTCTGCTTCCAGCTTTTTTCCAAGGCATCAGAGGGCCTATGACTGAGTGGTGGAACGGGGCAAGGAGAGGCACTGGTAGACTTAAGACCATGCCTTCCTTACTGTCTATATATAGCATTCCTTTGCTCACTACTCCTGTTGCTCAAAGGCTGGGGGTGGGGGTGGGGGGCGATATACACAGGTATTGCTGTCAAAAGCCCAAAGAAAACATTTAGAATAGGAAAGCATAGAATGAAATGAAATTCCTGAATGCTGTGGAATTTAATTTTTAAAAAAATATTTTAATACATTTATTTCAAAAGCCAATATGACATAAGTTGAACAACACAAGTAACAAACCTAACTTAATTGACAAAAAGAGTAATGTATTCTAAATCAGCGTGCATAACCTCTTTAATTACGCCAGAAGCATTTACAGAAATTGGTCATAGTGGACCATCAGTCCTCAAAAAATTTTTAAAAAGTAAAATAATGGTTCTGTGAACATGGGGATTAAGTTAGGAAAAAGAGAACTGGAAATCCCTAGCTAAAAATAAACAGGCAATACAGTTCTGAATAACCCATGGGTCACAGAAGAAATCACAAAGCTAAAAAAATTGATAATGAAGATAATACCATATCAAAACCTTTGGTATACAGGTAAAGTAATAATATAGCTTTAATTCACATGTTACAAAAGAAAGGCTGAAGTCAGTGATCTAAGTTTTTATGTCCAGAAACAGGATAGCAGAGTCAAAAAAATAGAGGAAAATACAAAAAAAAAAAAAGCGAAAGTCAATGAAATAGAAAACAAATGTCCAAGAAAGAAAATCAGTGAAGTAGGAAGTCATTCCCTTGAAAGCATCAATAAAATTGATAAAACCTTAGTAGACCTTAGATCAGACCGAAAAAATGTTAGAAAAAGGGACATCACTCATATTTTACTAATCTTCCATGAAGTCCCGGAGACTCTGGAATGAGGGAACGGGTCCCTATTCACTTTTGAAGCCACCAAAACCCATTAAGGATATCACAGAGGAAAACCAGGGGCTGAACTCTCCTTTGAAAGCAGATGTAAAATTCCTGGAAAAAATAGGCAAATCAGATCTAGCAAAAAAAAAAAAAAAAATGACTATGCACCATACCTAATCTGGGTTTACTGTAAAAAACCAAGATTGATTCAACACATGAAAAGTGATCAAATCTAGGTAGATACACAAAAGAACACTACAAAATTCAATACCTATTCATGATTAAAAAAAAAACTTCGAAAACCAGAAATAGGAGGGCACATCCTTAATCTAACAAAAGGTATCAACAAAACGCTATAGTAAACCTCTCAATGAAAAACTGAAATCCTCCTCCATTAAATGAGGATTGAGCCAAAGATGTCCACTGCCACACCTCCATGTATTATTATACTGGTCCAAGCCTGTGTGATAAACCAAGAAAATAAAAGGATTATAAAGGAAAACAATTTTTGCTGACAACATGACTGTGTACATTGATAATCCAAAAGAATATGCAGACTCAGAATGAAATGGATTTAGCAAGGTACCAGAATACAAAGTCAATATGCAAAAAAATCAATTACGTGTTTCTAAATACAAAAAAAAAAAAGGAATTTCAAAAATACAACGGGGTACCTGGCTAGCTCTTTCGGAAGAATGTGTGACTTTGATCTCGGGGTCGTGAGTTTGAGCCCCATGGTTGATGTAGAAATGACTTAAATTGAAAATAAACTTTTAAAAAATGTAGCATAAGAAATCAAATAGCTCAAAATAGATATATTGAAAGATATGCAGAACCTTTACATTGACAACAACAAAACATTCTTGAAAGAAATGAATGGAAAGATATATCTTCTCCGTGGATTAGAAAGTAATATTGTAAGGATGCCAATGTTCTCAAATTGATCTGCAGGTTAGACTCAATTCTAAGTAAAATCCCAGCAGGTTTATTTCTATGAAATTGGCAAGCGGAGGATTCCAAAATCTATATGGAAATGCAAAGTGCCAAAACAGCCAAGGCAATTTTGAATAAGGACAAAAGTGGAGTCTCTGTTCCCAGATATGTTCCTTTAACTTTCCACCTTTTTGTTAAGATTTATGCAGCAGTTTATTTTTTTAACGCCTTTCTGTAGACATGCTTCTTACAAATAGCACATACTTGTATTTTGTTTTATGACCTTTTCTGAAGGTTTTGTCTCAGTATGGAATATTACACCATTTGTATTTTTTATTCTAATTCCATCATCTTGTTCTTTGATGTTATACCTCCTTTTCCCCTTCCCCTTAGTTTTCTGTTTCTAATGTTAAGAATTGAGGAATGGCTATATATTCTCTGGTCTTCTGAAGTTAGGTATCCTGTCTTTTAATTCCACAAGTGATCTCATATTGATGATTTTTTAAGTGGAATTTAATATTTTGAGCTGCATTTTTGACCACGAAGAAGATGGGCTGTATTTCAGAAGTTTGAGTAGTTTAGCTGGATGGACTGGAAGCTGGTCTCTGACTCTAGTCCCGAGAAGCAAGATATTTAGGGCACCTCCACTGTGTATAAGGAGGAAGGTCTAGGTTTGCGTGGCAGTGGACAAGGACAGTGTTTAGGTCTCCCTCCTTGCCAGCTGCCCCTTCATTTCAATGTAGGGCTTCTGGGCCTTTCCTGGGCATGGTTCCCTGAAAATCCCTCTGCTGCTGCTGCCCTGATCAAGTTTCTGGATCTGTTAATAATAGACATCAGTGGGGGAGGGCCAGGATCATTATGGAAATAGGAACAACCAAAACCACATGGACAGTTCCTGTACCACCCCCCCACCCCCCATCTGTCTGCTCCCTCCCTGGATCTAAAGATCGCCCTGCAGCAGGGATGTCTTCTAAGCCACTCTTTGGAGCCATTCTGACCTTGTGAAGGTCTCCCTAATGCCTGCCCGCAAAAATCAGAACGCATGATCTGGGGAGGATTGGTATGTTTATGAAAACACTGAAAAAGAATATTTAAGATCTGAACTCTCCCAGAAAATCCAGGAGGAATAATACCCCCACTGAACCCCCCAGAAGGGAAGGAAGTTTGGCAGCAATTAGGTGAGGCAGCAGAGGCAAAGCGTACATAATCCTGGAGTGTAGAAGGAGGGAGGAATGTAAGGGGGAAGCATGGAAAACTAAGGACATGTTGATGTTAGGGGAGTAGAAATGGGAGAGGAAAACAGGGGCTCTATTAAATAAAATGTGAAGTCAGCACCATTTAAATTTTGATGCCCCCTTAATCTTTCTATTCCCCATGAATGGCCTCCCTCTTCAGCCTCCCCTCCCTGCATATTCCTCTTTCTTTCTTTTTTTTTTTTTTAAGATTTTATTTACCTATTTGACAGAGACACAGTGAGAGAGGGAACACAAGCAGGGGGAGATGGGAGAGGGAGAAGCAGGCCTCCTGCGGAGCAGAGAGGCCCGACGCGGGGCTCGATCCCAGGACCCCGGGATCACGACCCGAGCCGAAGGCAGACGCCCAATGACTGAGCCACCCAGGCGCCCCCATATTCCTCTTTCTTTATCCAAACCTGCTCTCAGGGACGTCTGGCTGTCTCAGTCAAAAGAGCATGGGACTCTTGATCTCAGGGTTGCAGGTTCAAGCTCCACATTGAGTATAGCAATTACTTAAATAAGTAAATTTAAACAAACAAACAAAAAACTCTGCTCTCAGGGGAATATGGAAACTCAACCAATGAATTGTGGAAAACCAATAAAGCTTCAGAAATTACCAGTTGCAAAAATCAGAAACCCTCTTGTTGTAAAATATAACACAGATAGAGAAAAATACATAAAATGTATAGTTAGGGGTCCCTGGCTGGCTCAGTTGGTGGAGCATGCAATTCTTGATCGCGGGGTTGCAGGTTCGAGTCCCACGTTCGGTGTAGAGATTACCTAAAGTACTGGAGCATTTGGATGGCTCAGTTGGTTGGGCTGTCGACTCTTGATTTCAGCCTGGGTCATGATCTCAGGGTCTCGAGATCGAGCCCTGCATCAGGCTCCACGCTGAGCATGGGGTCTGCTTGAGTTTCTCTCTCTCTCTCTCTCTCCTTCTGCCCCTCCCCCTGCTCCTGTGTGCTCTCTCTCTAAATAAATGAATAAATAAAATCTTTTTTAAAATTACTTAAAAGGGGGCACCTGGGTGGCTCAGTCGTTAAGCGTCTGCCTTCGACTCAGGTCATGATCCCAGGGTCCTGGAAATGAGTCCCGCATCGGGCTCCCTGCTCAGCGGGAAGCTTGCTTCTCCCTCTGCCACTCCCCCTGCTTGTGTTTCCTCTCTCTCTGTGTCTCTCTCTGTCAAATAAATAAATAACATCTTTAAAAATAAAATAAAATTATTTTAAAAAAAAAGAAAGGAAAATGTATAGTTGAATAAGTTATAAAGGGAAGACCCTCGTTAGCACCCAGGACTAGAAATTAGAACTTGGCCAGCTATTTCAGAAGCCAGCTACGTGCCCGATCCTATCACAACTCTCCCTCCTCCCCAAAGTAACCACAATCCTGACATTTATGGTAATCACTTAGGAGGATTTTATTTTAATGGGACTAAAGGTTTAGCTATAAATAATCACTAATGGTAGAA